TGAACTCACTCCCAAAAAGTTATGACCAGTTTGTTATGAACTATAACATGAATGACATAGAGAAATCCATTTCTGAACTTTATGGGATGCTTAAAACTGCTGAGCAAAACATTAAGAAAAAGCCTAACACTGTTTTGATGGTTCAACAGGAAAGGGTATGAAAAAGAAAGGCAAAGGCAAGGGCAAGAGAAAGGGTAAAGGCTTAGATGGTAAGACCAAAGAGTTGAACAAGCCTAAAACCAAGCCTCCAGCCAAGAAGGAAAAGCCTCCAAAAGAAAGAGTTTGCTTCTTTTACAATGAACTAGGTCATTAGAAGAGGAACTGCAAGCTCTACCTGAAAGATCTGAAAAAGAAGAAGGATAGCAGGGTTAGTCCTTCAGGTATTTATGTTATAGACATTCACCTTTCTACTTCTTTTGCATAGGTATTAGATATTGCATGTGGTTCTCATATTTGTACAAATGTGTAGGGTCTCAGAAATTGTAGAAAGTTGATGAAGGGTGAAGTAGACCTACAAGTTAGAAACAGAGTAAGAGTTGCTGCTTTAGCTGTAGGCACTTATGAATTATTTTTGCCCAGTGGGCTTTTGTTAGTTTTGAACAATTGCTATTATGTTCCTACTTTGAGTAGCAACATTGTTTCGCTTTCTTATTTGGATAAGGAAGGTTTCACTTCCATTACTGGGAATGGTAAATGTTCTATTTATCGAAATGACATTTTTTATGCAAATGGTGATTTGCATTTTGGTCATTATCTTTTAAATCTGGAACATCCTAGTACTAAAGACATCTATAACGTAACTACTAAAAGGATCAAATTGAACGATTTGAATCCAACCTACCTATGGCATTGTTGTCTTGGCCATATAAATGAGAAATGTATTTCTAAGCTCCATCAAGGTGGGCTTCTCAACTCGTTTGATTTTGAATCTTATAATACTTGTGAATCTTGTTTATTAGGAAAGATGATAAAAACACCTTTTACTGAGCATAGTGAGAGGTCTAATGACTTATTGGGACTTATACATACAGATGTATGTGGACTAATAAGTACAACTGCCAGAGGGGTTATCTATACTTTATTACCTTTATTAATGACTACAGTAGATATGGATACATCTACCTAATGAAACACAAATTTGAATCTTTTGAAATGTTCAAAGTATTCCAAAATGAAGTACAAAATCAACTTGGCAAGAATATTAAAACTCTTCGATCTGATCAAGGAGGTGAATATTTGAGCCAAGAATTTATTAATCATCTAAGGAGTTGTGGGATAGTCTCACAATTAACTCCTCCAATAACACCACAATGGAATGGTGTTTTTGAGTGGAGAAATTAGATACCAGTAGATATGGTTCGATCCATAATGAGTCAAGTAGATCTTCCACCATCCTTTTGGGGCCATACACTAAAAACAGTTGCGTTTACATTGAACAGTGTTCCATCTAAGGCAATTGAAAAGACACCATATGAGATATGGATTGGGAAGAAACCTAGTTTGTCTTTTCTTAAGATTTGGGGAAGTGAGGTTTATGTTAAGAAACAAGCCTTTGACAAGTTAGCACCCAAATCCACAAAGTGCCTTTTTATAGGGTATCCTAAAGAATTAAAGGGATACTATGCCTACAATCCTACTGATAATAAAGTGTTTGTAATTCAAAATGGTATCTTTCTAGAAAGAGAATTTATCTCTAAAAGAACTAGTGGGAGCAAGATACATTTTGAAGAAATTCAAGAACCACAAAATAGCACAGAGTCATAGATAGAAAATCAAGAAGACTCACAAGAGGTAAATAAGCCTACTCAAATAACATAAGGCCCACGAAGGGCTGATAGGACACGGCATCATCCTCAGAGATATGGATTTCTGATTAATGAATGTCGTGATGTGTTGCTCATTGAACACAATGAACTAACCACCTACCAAGAAGCCATAGTGAGACTAAATTCTGAGAAATGGCTAAATGCCATGAAGTCTGAAATGCAATCCATGTACGATAATAAGGTATGGACCTTAATCGATCTACCTGAAGGAATAAAAACCATCGAGTGCAAGTGGGTTTTTAAGGAGAAAACTGATATGGATGGCAAAGTAAATGTCTTCAAGGCATAATTGATTGCAAAAGAATTCACCCAAACTCATGGTGTAGACTATGATGAAACCTTTTCACCCGTCACAATGGCCAAATCAATCAGAATCCTCCTTGCCATTGCAATATATTATGACTATGAAATATGGCAGATGGATATTAAAACATCATTCCTTAATGGACGTCTACTTGAGGAATAAATGATGGTTATTTTAGCCTATAAATGATGATTAATATGCATCATTTATATGGCTGACATTTAAAGTCCCCTAAATAAATGACGATTATTTAAAATAAAATTTTTATAAAAGGTTAAGCCATATGAGACAATAAATAACAGGTAAATTATTTACCCATCATTTAAAGCCAAATGATAGGTAAATAATTTACCCATCATTTATTGTGACTTTAAATGATGGGTAAATGAATGGTAATAGATTATGTCAAATAAGTTGGACCACACATTTCTATCTCCTTAACCAAGTGAATAATAAGGTGAACCATTATGTCAAAAAATACAGGTAGGAAATACATTTCATGTTCACATAATGTTCTTATAATTCAGCCTTGTAACCTTAACAATTTGTGAAGATTGATCACTTTGCTACAAATAGACTTGAAGAAGAAACATAGTTTGGTTATTGCATTACGCATCCCATTGGGTAAAATGGAACATATAGCTACCAAAAGAAAATTTTCCATCAAGGCATAATAGTCATGAGATTTTAAACCTTATACCTATTAAAACCATGTCTAGACTCACTTTTATGCCATCTTTGCTATTTCTTGAAATTTGTAGTAATATACCAATAATACTTTCACACATATTTTTTCAATATGTGTTATATCAAGAAAATGCCACACATCCAAGGTCATCCAATATGGCAAATCAAAGAAAATAGATATTTTCTTCTACCCACTTATACTAATGTACCTCGTAAAGGCTTTCCAAATTCAATGCCCAAATCCTTAACCTTTTCAAACAACTAATCACTAGAAAAAGTTGTAGGTGGCCCACCTTCTTTTGGATTATCATTAAAAGATTTTCTTGATCTTCGATAATAATATTGTTGCTGGAACCATCTACAATATCCTATGTAGATATTCTTCATTCCTCTCAAGTATTTCTGGGCAATCCTAGAGTTCTTCTTCAACAACATTTGTTATCTCTTCAACACGACCATCCTCATCTATACTTGTTTTGAAATCATATGAGACATACATATTGTTATACCCACGGCTTCTACCAGTCATATCCCTTAACTTACCATGCTTATGCCAACATGTATAAGTATGATAAATACTAAAGCATACTAAATAATTTTCCAACTCACTAGCACTAACCTACTTCAAGAGGCCATATTTTATATAAGGGCACACAATGCTATTATGATCTGCCTCATGTTCTAATGCAAATCTAATGAACTCCTTCACCCAATCGACATATTCTTTTATGACTCTATTCATAGACATCCATTTCTTATCCATGATCTCTCTCAATCTAACAAAAATTATTAAGGGAAATGATATTAGTGACTCAATCATATTGAAAGAGTTAGTTTAATCAATATATTAATTACTAACTTAGTCAATCATGAGCCACATGCTTTCACTTATATATATATATATATCATCCCTCTCTAAGCTAATTAAATTTAAGATAATACTTATAATTATATTAAACTAATTGAAAGTATTTTGTCTTATGCGAAAACTTGCCAACAAGTTAATTTATATATATAATCCAAACAACATTAGGGCCCTTATGCTTAAGATACAAAAAATAATTTTTTTTAAAACTTTAGAGATTTTATAAAAAGTGATTTATTTTGTAAAGATTTTAAAAAAATTAGAAATTATTTTATGTTGGTTACAATCATAAAAAATTATTTTTTTACTTATAATAATAAGTGAAATATATATATATATATATATATCAATATTAACATTAATATATAGGCCCAACTATTATAAAAATTATAGGTCATTAATTTATAAAAGTTGATTTTACTGAAATTTTTCATCCCTATTCAAAACAAATAAAAATTTTATCTTGTATAAAAAATTGCCTTTTAATTTAACAAACAAACAAAACTTAAACTAGAGGGCCCTTAAAATGCCAAACTATTAATTTCAAACAAAAATTTGCCAGCATCATGGCATAAAAATGAAATTTTCATAGGCATTTTACCCTATTTCAATTACATTATCGTCATCATCAAAACAACAATATCATATGCTACTTAAAACTAAAAATTACACATAAGTAACAATTTTGAGTAAGCTAAAAGTACTCATATACAATTCCAATCACCATGAAACTTCATATACTATTTAATCATCAATCAAAGAATCAAACGATAAAAAATTTTCACTCAAAATAGTTAAATGTTATTCAAAGAAAAAATACATAAAGAATAGAGAATAAATTCGGATAAAAATAAAAATTAAATATAACTCTCATCTAGTCATATGTCATTAATGTAACATGCATTTTCAAGTTACCTATAACTTAAACTTCATGTGGGTTCCCTGTAACAACCTCAAAAATACAAACTGATTTTTCGCAAATTATTAAAACCATTATCATGGTAGAAAATTTTCTTACCATGATACATCCAAGACAATATACCACAGGTCTTAAAATATCTCAAAAAAAGCAATTAGAACCATAAGGGACAGTCAGGATCCTCATGGCATGATATTTAAATTAGGTCATGAATCAAGAGAGACAAACATAATCCTCTTGGTTAAATAAATACTTTTAATAAAAAGGATTAGAGTTCACATGCTTCACAAAGAAGATATGTCCTAAGTTGGCACAAGATACATTGTATAATCCAAAATAAGAGGCAACGTAAAAGATGGTGTTTCATATACCATAGTTACACCTCTGGTGCTTTCTCGGCCGGACTCGCTCCTGTAAAAATATTAACCACGGGGAATGAGACTTAAAAGTCCCAGTAACCAAAAATTAATATGTAATGATGCATGCGGATGTAACTAATCATGCGATTGCTAAGTGGGCACACAAAACATTTAACCAAACAATACTTTCAAACAAACCGAACAAGTATTTAATTTGCATGACTGCACCTTATATCCTCCTTTCGCTATGCTCGGACGCCAAATCACCCGGCCAAAGGTGAGTTGGACCAAGCGACACGCCACTCATTGGGTCCAATGAGGGCTTACCACGTGGTAATAATTAACCGAACAGAAGTTCCCATTAACACCATACATTAAAATACCCTGACAAGTCATGCATTATTCAAATATCCAAACAGGAATATATCCGAACAATAATATCTCATCATGATAAACAAAAATAAATTTTTAACCCACTTGGCAATAATTAAACAAGTATATACAATATTTATTTTCAATGATTCATAATTTTTTCAAACAACAAAACAACACATAACCATTCACAAACACACCCATCACAACACATTAATAATGGTTACCTTGTGTCTTGAATAACAAGTTCCCCTTCACAACTCCTTTTTCACCACTATCTTTGTCAATATAATCTACATAATTATTTCACAATACTATATATTAATTTTACATTAAAATAAATAACTCTAATTTAAAGAATTAGAAAGTCTTAGATCTATAATCCATATTAATACTAATTTAAGATTTATGCCTCATTTAACTTTTCAAATTCTTTTTCTAAAATTCTCGTACCCTAATAAACTATTTTTTTTATCCTCAAATCACTTCTAGTATCACAATTTCATCCTTCTATATTCTAAAAATTCGTCCAAAAATAAATTAAAAATTTTAAAATTATCCTGAAGCCTCAAATCACCTTTCTATAACCTCAAAAATACCTATTCATACTTAAATAAATATTTAATAATCATAGGTTTATCCCTACATCTCAGACTCCACATAAATTCAACCATATAGATCTAGATTTTAACTTAAAAATTCTTAAACATGAGTTTCAACCTCAAGAAAATATTCTATAATATTTATTATATCCCTAAGAGTTTTAACCTATATTTTTAATCCATCATATCATCAGATTAACTATCCTATAGAAAAAAAATCCTAATCAGAATATTTACTCTATCCTATAAAATAATCATATCACTAGAAAGCTAATATTATTTAGAAAATAACTATAAAATTAATTTTGTAATTAAATAAATTTTTAAATGCTAATCTAAACAGGAAAGTTAGAACATACCTGAAGAAAAAGAAAATAATCCCCCCTTGCGAGAAAAACGCCGAGCAACATGAGAGGAAGAGAGAAAAATAATATAAAAATGGGATTGTGGTCCCAAAATTATATTAAAAAAAAACTATAGGTTCGAATTTAATTATTCAAACCTTTGGGCCAAAAGTTGTAATTTCCTCTAAATTGCATCTTAGCCTCTCATGCTTCCTAATGCACACACCCCCTTCTTTTTATACATGAAGGCACCTCTTCTCTTCCCTCATCTAACCAATGTGGGACTTAGAAACAACAACCTTCCACCCCCCCGTTTTTTTTGTTCCTTCTACCTTCACTTTTTTTTAACACACAATAAAAAAATTATTTATGTATTATATCTTAACTAAATATTGCTTATGTGATTTTAAATTTAATTTTTTAAATTTATAATTAAATACCTAACCATAATATCATTTCTAAATAACCTCAAATAATATAAATTCCTATTATTATCATTTTTTTTCCTCAAAACCTAAATTCCACAATTTCTTTATTATATAAAAATCAGGATGTTACATTCCCACCAAAGGTTATTTTTTTTTTCTATGAAGCATTTCATCGAACAACATGCATCCAATAAGGCTCGTCATATATATCCATTTCTATAGTAGTGATTGGTGATTTATCCTCATGGATTGTGTGTCGACATTTGATGGTTATTTGCCCTCATGAACATTGTATCTACCCTTATTAAGAATTCTAATTGAGTCCCGCAAATTATGAAATTTTGGAACTTATTGTCTTTTAAATTTGTTTTGCTAAAAAAGCTGTTTATTTTACTATGCATGAATTTCTCTTTGTAAGATGAATTATGTAATTCATTTGTTTAAGGAAAAGGTCATAATTTGGAAGTTGAACTTGATGTTTCCATTTCCCTTAACCACCCTTATATGTATTTGGTTTACATATTTTTATAAGATTATTTGAACCATGCAACGTGTTTCATTTTATTATGATAATGGTTATTATTCTGAAATTCATAATTGTTTTATAAATATTATCTCCCTTTTACTTTCTTTAAATCTAAATTGGGACATTATTAACTGAAAAGCTTCTTTTAGTCTCTAATTTATTAGATGATGCTGAATTTCTTTTTGACTTTTAAAGGTTTTATAGCTGTGCTAGGTAAAGATTTAATTGAAATTATTTCTTTTTAAAATAGTTATAGAATTTATGTTTTTTATGTTGAAAATATAGTTAATGCTCCACATAGGCTATATTTAAGGTTCTATTACCGTTATATACTTTGTCTGTTAGCTGGAAGAAGCAGAGTTCCTAGTTGATGCAGTAATTTGACTAAAATTGTATAGAATTTTTGTGAGTTCTTAATTACAAGGAAGATGCTACTAAAATTTTTACAAAAGGCATAGGAACCTTTATTTATATGAAAATGTTACAATGGCTTCTCATTTTACTTTAAATGAATTAAAAATATTAGATTAAAGTTTCCTTGACTAAGGCTTAAGGGATGTGTGTTTGTGCGTATATCCCGTGCCGGTCATGTCTAATTTTTGTGTCACGACACTATTGATCTCTAACTTCTTCCTTCTCAACTACTAGTCGTGTCACTATTCATGTAAGTCACCGTCATTGGTGTGCCTGTTGCCATTAAGTTCACCATTATTATGAGTTCTTCCTTTATTTTACTACTCCTAAAGGGATTGCCGTTTGCCTTCAAAATTAAACTAAAGCTAACCCTAATACAATATAGGGCCAACCCTAGGTCATCTCCCAGGGAATGGTCTTAGTTTAAATTAAAGCTATCTAGTTGAATAAATCACCTAAATTTGAAGGAGTTTAGTTACCTAACTAATTATCTAGTGAATTAAACTAGCAAACTAAACCTAATTATGAATGGAATCGACTTCCCTTTTAATGTAGGAACCCTAGGGTATTGCTAATAGAAGAATCCTAGCCTCTAATTAATTATGGCAGCTCACTCAACTTCTCTTCCTTAGCTAAAAAATGTATTTACTTAAAACAACTATCTCAAGCAACTTAGCTTCACTAATTCAATTCCCTAAGTGCTATTACAAGCCCCTTAGGTAACCTCACTAGCTTAGTTCAAGAATTAACCAAGTATTTAGTTAAAATTCATTCCTAATTTCTATTGGCCAAAGCTGTACCTAAGTTCAAAGCTATGAAAACTCAAGCAACTCATCAAGTATTCACCACACAATTACATGCTAGATTAATACAAGACATTCACCAAATGAAATCACATATTACAATGTAAAATCACTAAGTGGCAGAAATTTCCAGCAACAAAAGGAAGTGAAATTCAAGTCAAGAGTCTTGTTTCAACACTAACAATTACAACCAACCATGAAACTAAAGTCAAATTAAACTGCAATTAACCATGGTCATAGTATTCTAGTGAAATTGAAACATAAGATAAAGAAATAATTGAGCTTAGCCAAATGAAGACTTTAAAACTCCTCTTCCATCAACTCCTCCCTAGGATTCCATGGAGAATTTAGCTAGAAAACATTAAAACCATCTTACTCCTCCAAGAACTAGACATAGTCAAGTAGAGCTTCATGTAAATAGTGGAATCAAGCTTTAAATCTCCTTACAAGTGGTAGGGATAGGTTCATCTAAGTAAGAGTAATGGAATGGTGGTGGTTTTGTGGAGGTTTGATGGCTGAATGTGGAGTTATGGGTGTTGAAAAAATGAAGAAAGTAGAGAGAAGGTGGAGAAAATGAAAAACAAGATGAACTAGAGAGAGAAATTGTGGAAGATAAGTGAATGAGTGAATGAATCTGATTTTGAGGGGTATGGGACGTGCTCTAAGTGTTCCCCCATCAGCTAAAACTCAATTAAAAAATAAGAAAAGAAAATGAATGGAAAATGGGAGCCTTGTCACACTTGCTAGGTGGCACCCTCCTATTGGCTTGTAGATGATTCCAATGTGTGTACAATTAATCCCATGTGTCATCCACAATTTTAGCTGATCTAAAACACCAAATAGGAGCCCTTACACATCCAAACCATCAGCCTTTGACCCCATAGACTTTTGACTCCATTTGCCTAATTGATGCACAAGTCACATGTCACCTATATCACATAAATCACATAATTCAATTAAATAACATGTGACATTATAAAATCTAATTAAAGTCTAGAATTGAATTCATAATTAGAAGGAAGAATTTATTAAATTAACTAAGTTCTAGGCTGCACAAAATTATATAAAAATTTCTACACAAAGACAAACCGAAAACTAGGTCAAACTAAGACACTTAAGAAAGTGTTGACTTTTTTCTTTAATTACTCCCAGACTAAAATAAATTTTAAAAATATAATTTTACCACTCATCAACTAGACATAAAATTCAATTTTTCAATTTTTCTTATACATTTTCTCAAAATTTTATTTTTTTTAGACCAAAATATCCCTAGTGCACTGAACCTAAAAACTTAAGCAAAATTCCAAATCTAATGTAATGTGTGCACTTGAAGGTGATAAATCATTAATAAAAAGGTCCTAATTGACAAATAAAAGTGGATAACAAATGTGTTCTGTCATACTTCTTTTCTCATTTTCTATGATATTGTGGCAAGTGCGTGGGCATCTTCTCCTTCCTTCTCTTCAATTGTTGTTCGTTGTGGTTGTTGTTGGAGAGCTCAGAGGTACTGTAACATTCTAAATTCCTAATTCTTGCATTAATTCTAATTAAGGAGTAAATTAGTAATTTAATATAAGATTATGGTTTTAGATATGGAATGTTATTTTGACTCTTTGGAATGTTATATGAATAGATTAGAGTAGGAGAGTGCCTCTCTGAAGTAGAGCATGTGAGCATGGTGAGCAGTTTCCTCACTATACCATGAATCCCAACCAATACTGGATGCACCGCAATGAATGGTGTAGAAATCTGGAGGATAAGAATGTGTCTCACTAGTAGAAAGTAAAAGGAAATAGAGGAAAAACTCATAGGGGAGTGGAGAAGAAAGGGATATCTACTAGGGCAACCATTTTTAGGAGAAAAGATGATGTTTCTAACCTGTTACTCATCAGTAAGTCTCATATTGCCTTAACCTTCAATTCTACACTATTTTCTCTTAGTTTAAACTACTGAGAAACTAAATCTAGAAGTTTTAAGTGTAATGCCCTTACTGATATTACCATATGCTCCACTACAATCATACATATTCAATTCAAAATCATTTAGTTTGCAAACTTTAAAAACCTTGAGATCCTAGGAAAATATTTCCAAAATCATTCTATAATTAACTCAAATTATAAAACTTAGCACAACAAAAACTATACATAAGGGTACATCTAAATCTAATAAAAATATATCCATTTTAGTAAAATTAAATCAAAATTTAGACCTTACACTGTGACTTGTGCCACATGTGCCACAGCATATGGTACAAAGACTGTAGAGTGACCGTCTGTAATGTGCACTGTGGTATGTAGATACATGGGTTACGGTGCACACACTTGAATTTGCTGTCGAAATGTTAATTCTGGTGTGAACTTTAGATGTGTGCCATTTTCGCACCCAATGTCTGATTGGGATATTTCAAAAATCTACATAGAACTTAAAGTCTAACTAATGACATTAGTTATGTTTCAATCTGATACTTCTTTAAAAAATTGGACACCTAAGTGCATTTTGACCATTTTATGCCAAAATTTATCATTCAAACATCCTAATTTGAAACCATATGTCATTAGCAACTTTTTAGGCCTTGATCATGTGCAAACGGACAATACACACCTAACTGACCATACATATGCACAATGTAATACACATACATACATTTGGCTTGTATATTACCCATATCATACTTTTGGGTCAAATTGCATTTTTCATTCTTAATCTCATGCAATGACAAATCCTTACTACACACACTTTAAGCATCCCATATTCACACACACATATATATATATATTCATCCACTAGCCCATTCAATCATTCCACCATTTACACATATACAAAGGGCTAAGGAGCTCAAAACCAACAAACATAAAATTCAACACACTATGCACATGTTTTGAATCCTAAGGCAACTTATACATATTCATAACTAATAACATGCAAGTTCATTGCACCAAATCCTTACAAAGGTTTGAAGAAAGATCTCAATCAACTGACGTCTTTCCCTTTTGAACCACTAATAATAAAACCTAAAAATATGAATAACC